CTTGCACCGGCCTTCCAGAAGCATTTAGCTGCATACCTTCCGATCATTGTTTGTTTTTGAAGAATACCAGGCTAGGAATGTTTATTCCCGGAACTATGCAAAAGACTTTACTTTTAGTCGCTTCTGACGCTAGTTGCACCTGCAGTCAGTGCAGAGTTTAATTGTAGTACTGCTTACCTACATGTACATGTAGGTAAGCACCGGTCAAGAGAAACACACCAGGGAGTCGGTATTTTACGACTCCCTGAAACACACCGTGATTCCGATGCGTAGACCTACGTGCGCACGCGTAAGTAGACCATTATAGTCATGTACTTCAGACAGCGGTTATCAAACCAGCCTAGGAGACAGTTACGTGTAATCTACATAACGAAGAGCGCCCCTGGCTTGGACTTGTTGGAGGGAACGAACATCTACTGAGTATTGTATTGTAGACAATCACTGAATCAGCCTACAGTACAGGTACAGATACTACAATGTACTACAATATACATGCCCACTCACCCGCCGCCACATTACCATTCTAACGTTAGGATACAAACTATGCGTTACTTGCATTGTATATGTTCATGGCACATGAAGTGAGGATGCGATTATTGCAAACCAGACCTACATGTACATGTACACGAATGCAGTTACTCCAGAAATGGAGCCAGACAACTAATTAACGCCCATATACAACGTCCTACACAAGTTCTTAGTACATATTTGTAGCTGGAATGGATTCCCCTACGTGTACATGTACATGTACGATGTATACAGTGTATGTAGATTGTATGAATGCAATACATCCCTGTTGTGAACACGTACATGTACATTGTACGTGTCTATGAAAATATCACCGCAAGATGGACGCAGCAAGAAAAAAAAACAATTGCAATGCTTGGCCATCAAAATGAATTGCAGCTCTACAGGGCATTGTAATTACTTAGGTGGACTTTCTGTAATGCTGTCACGTGACATGAACTCACTCTACATACATGTACATGTACATGTAATTATGTACATGTACATGTATGTACAGTGCATTTCAAAACTATAGACGCGTAGGGTTTTTGAAATATTTCAAATTTGGCTGGAACTTTTTGAGAATAGTTTTCGGAATATTGCTCAGGATCGCTCCACAATTACTCTCATATAGTTTCTAAAGGATTGGATAACAGACGCCCAATTTGGAAAAAATTATGCACAAAGTGATCACAGATTTTATGTGGTATAGATGCTGGCATAACGGTTTTTGCCTAGGTACGCGTCTATAGTTTTGAAATGGACTGTAGTCCTGTACGATTCAAGATCAGTAATATTCACATGCACCTCAAGCTATTACTTGATGACTAAGCCATCATCATCCTTCACAAGACTAGAGCACCAAAAAGCTATACATGTATAATCACCACTAACACTTTGAGACCATAATGAAGGACCGCCGTTGCCATGGTTTTACACAATCGCGTACGCTACCTTTACTCGGAAACGAACGTTCTACGACGAACGTTCTCTCAACATGAATTTCGCAGTGCATGTGAAATAATGTGCACGCTGTAAAACCAATGGAACATGATCTCCAACTGCATCCACTGAACGAACAATTTACTTATAATCAAAAGCCTCGAAAAGAACCAAAATATACTCTGGCTTCCCTTCAACCACGTATAAATCTTTCGCCTTTTACTAAAGATTTCCGTGGAGGGGAGCAATAAAGGAGTCTTCTCGAGAATTTTTCTTCAGCCCTTGCTCACTGAGCAGGGCTCACCAAATACAATCCTAAGGCCAAACTAAAGAAGGTGTGTGGTTCGACTCACCCGACCGACCGTACAATTTCAGCCCGACCGTAACTTTTTTTCGGCGGGCTGTCGTGTGACTGACGTACGTGGACTGAACACGTCCACGTCTACGTGCTGTGCAGCGTGAGTCTGCGGACGCAGGCGGCTCCTTTTGGACTTGACTTGTAGTTGTACTGCAGTGCAGTGCAGTGAGTGGTACGACTGCTGCCCTGTGCTGGTAGTAGAGTCTACTCGATACGCGTATACAGTGTATTTACATGTACATGTACTAAAAAATATATTTAAAAAAAAAAAATCCGCCCGCCCGCCCGTAAAAAAAATGTCCATGTTAGTCGAACCACACACCTTCTTTAGCTTGGCCTAATGAAAGAAATTTTTTTCCAGAGGTGGTATTCCTCCCAACACAATGCAAACCAGAGGAAGGAAAATCCATTGACAACTTGACAATCCTTCTTGCTCTCTCGCCCCAGCAGCACACAGGCAGTACATGTATGTGCAAATAAAACTAATACAAAAACTGGTAGAGGAACATTTTGTTGGGTCCTGCAGCGACCACAAGCAAAAATGATTATACATACCGGTATTATTGTAACCGAAAAGCTGCTACGGAATTGCTTCCAAAGGCAGAGCTCGGGGTTCTTTTCTTAGTGATCTTCTTCAGACCTTTGTCACTTGCTTCCCATACAGTGCAAGCACCACTTTCGTTTTGCATTATAGAGCCCTACTCAGTGAGCAAGGGCTAAAGAAAAATTCCCGAGAAGACTCCTTCATTGCTCCCCTCCACGGAAATCTTTAGTAAAAGGCGAAAGATTTATACGTGGTTGAAGGGAAGCCAGAGTATGAGTTACCTCCACATCAGCCACTGTGTCTTCTGAGGAAATGTTCTTCAGTGGACATAGTTGCGAAGTATGTAACCATGCCAACATAATTCTAATACGAGTCACGAGACATGAACATGTTAATATTGTGTGTTCAGCGATAAAGTGGTGCCCTATGATATTCGTTACGAGGTGAAATGATAGAAATTCATTTCACATCCTACATTGCTGAGCTGCTGCGGTGCAAGGCTGAAACAGTTCTTGATGTCCTGCAGATGTGCAGTGGAACCTACTCTATACTTAGCTTACATTTAATATGTCCACCAAGAATCCATAAAAATAAAAAAATACAGTAAACGTTTATGGACTCTTGATGTCCACAAGTGCAACTCGTGGTGCTCGTGGAGAAGGGTCAGATTTCATTGGCCAGCACTGTGTGGTACACCAGGGTTTTCATGCCTGCTGTTGGGCCAAGCAAAAATAGCAGATTCGTGCACAGTGTACATGTACTTGTAATTTGTAAATTGTAGTTCCAATACTATGACACAGTTATCCTGGTAGTATGCAACTGTGATCGCGTTTCTACAGTGTATGTGCTAGGTTCTCAGTCCGGCCGCGTTCGTACATTATGCAGCTTCCGATCCCTACACTACCGAAAATCATAAACCACATTTTCCCTGTGTATGGTTGGAAGCTAGATTTCTGACCGGACCAGATCGTACGTCGGGATTGAAATGAATGAAGTGGAAATAAGAATGTTTGACTCCTAGGATCCTTTTATAAACAAGAGGATCAGATTGGATAATTTACAAAGTACTGCGCGAAGAGTTTCTGAAAACTTTCTTCAAGCAGTTTTCTTATTCTAAATTTAAAGGGGAAGTGCATCGATTTTTCGAGTAGGGTCCAGAAGAAAGACAATTTGATATCGGTTCGAATGGCATATCTCTCGCTTCCATACGATAAGCCAAACTTGCCAAATCGCCAATTGTATGCTCACGTTGCCATAGCGACCAGCGCAGTGATGACGTATGAAAGGCTTAGCTCCACCACAGAGAAGGTCGATCACTGCAGAAATTGGTCATTTTCAATTTTCTTATTGTATTCACGATGTGAAAGAAGTGCTGTGTTCAATGCTGTTAATGCCGTGAACTATTTATCGCCCTTCTCATGCATTTCCCTAGGCTGACTGTGCCTAGGAAATGGTTTCCTCCAGGACAAGATGCTTGGAATTCGCCATCTCTCCTGAGACATGTTCTGCAAACTTTAAAACCTACGACATTATTTCATTCGTCAATCTCCACCACCCGTCGTCTCACCTGGCTTCAGAAGATGTTACGAGAGATAGTAGAGTCGCCAGGAAGCATCACATTCATCTTCAGGAAGTGGAAAGAGCAAACTGCATGGTCCTTGGTTGGGGGAAATGCTGAACGTCTGATTTGTCCCAACCAAGATTTCAGCATTTTGTTCGTCACTATTTTCGCTTGTCTGCTGGTGTCTCCGCACTCCAGCTTTCTCCTGTCGGTGTCACGTCCCAGTACACAACCGAGAGGACTACTAACAAACAGTTCACTGCACTAACAGCATTGAACACAGCCCTTCTTTCACTTCGTGAATACAATAAACCAATTCAAAATGACCCAATTCTGCAGTGATCGACCTTCTCTGTGGTGGAGCTAAGCCTTTCGTACGTCATCACTGCGCTGGTTGCTATGGCAACGTGGGTATACAATTGGCGATTTGGCAAGTTTGGCTTATCGTATGGAAGCGAGAGATATTCCATTCGAACCGATATCAAATTGTCTTTCTTCTGGACCATACTCGAAAAATCGATGCACTTCCCCTTTAAAGACTGGGAGAACGCTGAATGTGTCGAACACTGTACAGCATTGTGGTTGCGTCTTGTCTCCTTCGAAAGCAGAGAATTCAGATGAAATGAAATTTTGTTGCATCGGGTACAACTTTGCTCAAGATGCAAGATGCATGATTACCTTGTAGATGTGATAGAAATGTCTCTATTCCATGGGGGATACAACTACCAGCAAGAGTACATACCCCCCCCCCCCCCCCCCCTGGGGATTATACTCTTGCTACCAGTATGGATTCAGCCCTCTCAGAGTCTCATGGATGAAGATCATGCACGTATTTTCTTCAATCATTTATATAGCCCTGCTCAGTGAGCAAGGGCTGAAGAAAAATTCTTGAGAAGACTCCTTCATTGCTCCCCTCCACGGAAATCTTTAGTAAAAGGCGAAAGATTTATTCGTGGTTGAAGGGAAGCCAGAGTATGACTTGCCTCCACATCAGCCACTGTGTCTTCTGAGAAAATGCTATTCAGTGGTCATAGTTAGTAAACACGTAACCATGGCGACATGGGATCAAACAGGTGCATAGCGGCATGCATCCGTGAGAGGAGATAACACCAGAGCAGGAGGTTGACAATCGGTGTGATCATTCTGCACCGGTCTCGGCTCCAGAATCCATGGCAACATAAGAGCACAGTTGTTGTTTTTTAGTAAATCCGTCTGATGAAAATTAGAGTGGGTTATGAAGTGCTAAGAACGTGAAAATAAGAAGGCTCTTTAAACTCCCTCGAGCTGACAATTTAGTTATAGAAGTAGTTTTACAACTACCATAGATGTGCTGTGTGATGAAAAATGGTCACTGTACATACGCACAAGCTAGGAAAGAGAAAAAGGGAAAGTCTTGTAGTATGGACGCACCACACGTGGTCTGAAGGCCATGGAGCACATTATAATCCTTGAGGCATTCCTTAAAATATAGGCACATCAGGGAGTAAGTATCACACAGTCAAAATGGTTCCGGGAGTTTAGCTCTGATATAGCCGAGCCTGCTCAAGCTGTTGAGGTCTCAACGTCATACAAACGATGAGAATTAAAAGATAAAATGTGCATGGTGTAGTAGTCACCCGTCAATGATCACGGAGCTCAAGCTCAGCGTATGTAGTGTGGAGTCCACGGTTGCATTCAGCAATCTCAATAATAAAGGAATGTCCACGCACGAAAAGTACAAGTTGTCGTGGCAAACCCTAGTGTTGTATATTCAGTAGGTTCTAGAGCCTTGGCTGTGTGTACCACGGTGTCAGGCGTAGCAGAAACGAAACACGGAAAGTGCGGATGGTGGCAGAGAGCTCCAGATGAGATGGATATGTATGGCTCTTCTGCCGTTGCATGTGCAAGCAATAGCTCGGCACATCAGGCACATGGGATTGCAGAGCTGTGGTGGATCATATCGTACAGACAGAGCAGGTTAACTCTCTGTTTGCCATGTACGGCGCGCAGGGCAATGCCCCGCAGCTAGCCTCCACCGGGTAGAGACCCAGGCCTTCGCGCGGCAGCTGAGATCCCAGCACCGATGCCTCAGCTTCCCTGTCCACGCAGATGTACTGCGACTTGTGGTGGTCGAAGCGCTCGCTCATCAAGTACCCGTTATACTGCTGCTGCCAGCGCAGGGGACAGAGCGTGCTGGCCGGCACCATTAGAACAGAGGATGCCAGACGTGTATGGCACACAGCACACGGTACTTTTCGATGCGACAGCCGTCCACCCGTGCCGGTGTTCTCAAACACGTTGAAGCCGTCCCCGGGTCCAAACCGGTACTCGGCGCCGAAAATTTGGCCGCCGGCTTCGCGCATGTCGCTGAAGTTTCCCCAGGTTGGCGTTAGCGGCAGACACATGGTGTTGCTGCCGCTGCCAGGCTGGGAGCTGAGGGAGCCGGCCGCGAGGCCCTCGTACACAATTTGCGTGATGTTGCGCAGGTGCTGTGGGCACGTGCGCCGTCCCCAGCGGATGTAGGTGAGTCCGGCCTGGGTCAGGTGTGGCATGGCCGCCATCCCCGCCATACCAGACATTCCAGCTGGCTGTGCAGACACCAAGACAAAACACATGCACATAATTATGCTCCAATGATGCCATCATTATGTCCACTGGCAATCACACAAAAGCCAGGGGTTACCTTGTCTTTGAAGTGCAGGCCCTTCAAATCGTTTCTGCAGGTGTACGTATGTGCTGCACACTTCCAGTATTCTCTGAGAAGAAACCTCCTCACGCTCAGTTCCCAAATTCGGTACTCCCTTCATGTGAGGTAACCATTGTCATTGACACATGCCTGCAAGGAAATATGAGCTTTTTACAGTAAACATGCAGTGTTGTGCTATGCAGCTACGCCCAACACTGACCATGGCAGTCTGATGTGGAATCGGTGTGGCTCGACCCATGCCAGCGGTGCGCCATGCCTCCACTGCCATTATCTGCAAGGAGAGAGAAGCCCGGGAGAAAACGACACAAAGACTAAGCATGTACTCTGTGTTGATCACATCTATCTGTTCAGACCATGCAGGGAGTTGTAGCATATAGGGAGACAACATGGACGATCGAAGAGCTAAATGCTGCGGGTCTTAACCCATCCATACCCGCTGCAGTCCCCCTTGTGGCATAAAGGCAATATTGTGCAGGAGAAGCATGCTATCTCGACGTATCTACCGGCAGAAGGTCAAGTTTCTAGTTGCCTTCAAGGTCAAGGGTAAATTTGGCTGAACAAGAATCAAGAATCAAAGGAATATTTGGCGAGGTGGCAAACGTGAGGTTGACACCCAAGGGGTGCAACCCGTGACAGATTCAGTGTGCATATGCACGATCTGGAGACTCACCCTTCTAAGCAAGTCGGCATTGGATGCTGACAGGTGCTGTACACTGGCATGCTGGTTGCTGGCTATCTCCTCCAGCTGGAGTATCTTCTCCTGCACAGTAGACACGCAGAAGGTGAAAACAAGCATGCTATGCTTACAAAGGCCTTGAGATTCTAATGGGCACAGGACCACATAAAGAAAGAGCCTTGGAAAGAGAGAGAGAGAGAGAGAGAGAGAGAGAGAGAGAGAGAGAGAGAGAGAGAGAGAGAGAGAGAGAGAGAGCGAGAGCGAGAGCGAGAGAGAGAGAGAGAGCAAGAGAGAGCGAGAGCGAGAGAGCGAGAGCGAGAGAGAGAGAGAGAGAGAGAGAGAGAGAGAGAGAGAGAGAGAGAGAGAGAGAGAGAGAGAGAGAGAGAGAGAGAGAGAGAGAGAGAGAGAGAGAGAGAGAGAGAGAGAGAGAGAGAGAGAGAGAGAGAGAGAGAGGGGGAGGGAGGGAGGGAGAGAGAGAGAGAGAGACAGCTAGAGAGGGAGAGGGATAATACACACTTGAACTTTTGGACCGTCTCCGTCAGATTCCTCTTTTAAAGGCTCAGGCACAACAGAGATGCGCTTAGCTTATGCAAACTGTCACTGTTGATCATTTTTGGTTTCTTCCTAAGCACCCGTAGATAACTAAGGGCAAGCTGTGCCAAACATAGTCCCTACCAACAATTCAATAATTCTTCCTTGCTGTTTGGTTTAGGATAATGATAGAAGCATGCTCCATATTTGTGAACAGTTCCCTCGGAGACAAATTGTTGTTGAAGAGCCTGAAGTATGTCCCTCTTCTTAGTATTATCATATTCCATATTCATGGCCTCAAGCAAAGGTCCTTGGTTTGAGCCCTGGTGGTGATAGTCACTGTTTTCTTCAGACTTTTCCCGTTTGCATCTTTCCCTCAAACCAACGAATATTCATTATTCAGGATTATAATAGTGATACAGCTGCCTGGTCTCACCTTCACTGTGTTTGCTCTTTGCTGTAGCGGTAGACCAGACCTGCTGTCTCCCATGAGCGAAGGCGTGAAGTGAGCGCTTGAAGAGAACACTGCAAACAGTTGCCACAAAGCAAAGGCGGAGTTAGTAGGCTTGCTCTTCACTAGGATATAAAAGTACAAAAAAAACCCAGGTGACTCCCCCTCGAATGACAGTATTAGTATCGGATCAAGTGTGTGTAATATGTTTTTCATTTGACCCAACGAGACCAGTTCACCAGCCACACTCCATGAAAGCAAGTAGTATTACTCCTGACAAGTCTTGTTTCGTTCCATAAAGATAACGGGGAACTCATCACTGAGGAGAAGCAGTTGTTGAATGAAGGGGTTAAGCTGAATAATGCTATTTTAGAGAGTGTATGCATCATAAGCTCTACGCAGAGCAACAAGGGACAAGGCTAATTTGTTGGAAATCTGAGTTTCATGCCATGCAATCATCAGGCAACATACAAATACTGTTGTTGGCCATGCCAGTATTAATGCCAGGAGAAATATTGGTGGTTTTGTGGTTTGGTGCTGTGCATTGGGTATACTTTTGGTAGTACTAATATCAGGACTGCCACTTGTTCCGATTTCTTTGGAAACGCTCTCATTTTTACAGGTCGTTCCGACAAACCAACCGAAAACAATCTTCACTTCCGCACTAGGATTAGCCACGAAAGTGCACTCATCTGTTGTTTTTGACTCCTAAAGGGAGCACTGCCTCATTATCCCTCAGCCCCTAGCCGGGGAAACCAACGGATCCCTTCCAGATTTCTTCCAACAGAAAGATGGAAGCCCTGTAATACCAGGTACGCAGTGTGGAGACCGATGACCAAGGACCAATGATGGTCTTTCAGCACATAACAAGCAGCTATCAGCTCCAAGGGAGCCTGACTTACCCGGCATGTTTGCAAGGTCCTGGTCAGTTTCATCGTCAAACCCGCCGGAGATCACAATCCCAGTCAGCAGCAGTGCTATGGACGCTGTGAGCATGGCCACCGTGTGCAGAATGCAGCCGCAACGCGTCATCTTTGTCTCCTTGAAGAGCGACGCGGCCGACCAGTCCGCCAAGGCTGCGGACCTGCTTGGCGTGGACGTGTAGGCATTCTTCGTGTTGTCAATCATGCTGAGCACCGGAGGCGAGGGGACAAGATAACAAAGCAATGGAGCTGATCAAAAAAGTTTTAAAAACTTCTGCCATCACTCTTACAGTACAGTGATTTGTTATTTGCGCCTTAGCTACTACTTCTAAAAACAATGAAAAGAATTCGGGAGGACACACCCATTCCCATAGCGCTGCACATCACATCCGAACCAGCTCCGTTATTTTTACACCTGGCCATCGCCAGGTAATAACAATGAATACCGTGGAAGCCACACAAGAGCAGTATATACTAACTCTTTCTAAAAACAAGATGCACTTATATCGGCATAACAACATTTTTTTCTGAACATAGCCTGTACAGTGTCCAGGGTTTCTAGCCTTAGGCGGGCACTGGGGACGGCAAGCCATAATTATTTGTTTGAAGTTCATGATTCCTTGGATATGAGACCAGAGTTCTACCCACGTCAACATAGAAAGGGGGGGGGGGGGGCAGAGGAAACAGTTACTAGTACCCGCAACCCATTTTCTATTTTCCAAAATTGCCGTGCCGTGCAAAATGCAACGAACAGGGCGAACCCCCGACATCATTCAGACCGGCGGTATGCCTTTATGAACCCTCTGTGAGTGACTATTGACTGCACTTTCATTGACTTGCCTGAAAAGACACAAAAATTGACAAATGAGTAGGGATGCAGTTGGTTGTTCCTACGTGGGGGCGTGAGTAGGGCGCGCCACATTTTCATAGGAGGGTGCTGCCCCCCCCCCCCCCCCTCCTTTGACTAGAACCCTGTGTGTATATGAGTAGGGCCCCTGTGTGTATATGAGTAGGGCCCATGTGTTGGTTATCGTCCCTTTAGGTATCATGAGAAGGATTTGGGCTAATTAGTAATTATCTACTTTCCCGAAACACTGTGTATTGAGCAGGGAGTGAAGCTTTCTTGCAGGTTTGCGAGTGGAAGGTGCGACATGCTCCTCGTGTGCTCCGAATGGCAGGCGCGAGTCAGTCAAGTGTCAAGTTTGGCAGGAAGTGTGTGTTCCTCATCGGAACAACTACCTTCATCACTAATGCCCCCAAAGTCGCAACTTCAAAGTTCGTTTTCTACTGCAGTACAGGTAATGTGGAGAGTGTGTGCTCCCTCTCTCCTAGGACCAACAAAGATCATACGAAATGGATTCACTGTCGTGGTACTGTCCATCAACTACATGTACATGTATGTACTTGCTTGTCTTGTTCTCCAAATACCAGTTGGCACTAGCAGTGGACTGGTGGACGGTTGCACCGCAGCTTGCAGGATTTCTCATGCTGACTACAATGACATGTACACCATGGAGAGGTCAAACGCGCACTGTTGCAAGCCTATGGGAAACCAGACCCGCCAGCTTATGATTCGGGAGATCAGTCCCTTCAGGTTGGGATACCAGTGGGGAGGTCACCTGCCCTCAACATGTAGGGGTAAAATGGGCATGCTATGCCAGCATGTTGACCGTGCCATAGTCACACTAACGAGTCCACTGCCGTATATGCATGTAATGTACAACATACTTGCTGCAAAACATTGTGCTAAGTAGGGAGGTTTTCAACTCTTGTCAGGAGATAGGGAGATGCTTCCAAAATTTCAAAACATCGGGAGCTCTCACGCCGGATAAGGAGTTTCGGCACCTCTGGGAGACCGTTCTGCCTACAAGCGTCGCTTGGACGCGTACATCATCACTGCGAACTCGTTACGGAACGAGAATGGAGTGAGAGAATGCATGGCGAACGCATTTCCCGAAGTAGATACAGTCATTATGATTGTACTGTGTATCCTAGCCGAAACTAGTAGTGACTTGGTTGGAGTCGCAGCAAGAGCTCTGTTGTACTCCATTTCCGACATTCGAGTCGCTTCGTGACACCAACTTACACAATACAACTTACAAGCCACGTAGAATGCAACGATGGAAACCCATTTCGACCATTGTCATGGACTTACTTTTTGCATCTGTTTGAGCTCCGAAGTCCAATCCCAAATTCAGTTCGCCCAGCAAGTCCGCTAGCCAAGTTTCTACTGCAGAAGTTTCTACTACATGTGCTAGAACCCTCGGATTACAAATTCGATTCCTCCCAGTTCGGACTCACTCCTGAATATACTCCTCCAGGACTGAGGACGGACAACAACCACGAAAGTCGGAAATAGAAATGAACTAACTTCACGCTCCTCGCCCACACGTGGACACACACATGCTGAACGAGAACTTACATATTTCCGTCGTAGCCCCTTTCCCGCCCGTGCCCGCTCCTCTCCAGCGGTACTGACTGCGGATGGATCGGTGCCTGTTGCTGTTGGTGGTTGTGAGAAGTCACAGTGGCTACATTATTCTGACGGTCCGAGGCCGGGTGCAGTGCTACCGGTGGAGGTGGAGGTGGCGGCGGCGGAGGCATTGTGAATGCGTCCAGTTTGCTGCTCACTTGCTGTTGTGCCCTCTGCTGGAGCTGGTCCGTGTGAGCGCGTTCTATTTCGGCCAGAAGGAAAACACCAGGCGGTGGCTTATCGTGCTGCACAAGATGGCGATACTCTGGCGGAATTGTGCTGCTGTCGTCGTCGTCTTCCGCTGTGGCTGTCGCCTCAAAGCTGCTGACAGGGTTGTTGTTCAGAAAAGTCTGGCCTATCGGTATGCTGCGTGTGTGTGCGGCCGGTACCAGTGCAGTTGCTACACCTCCAGCATTGCCAGTAGTGGCATGCACTCCGTGAACTGCACAGTCTGGATCGTAGGCGTACGACAACTGGCCGGCCAGCTGACCAGACGTCGTGCTCTGATGTGCAGAAGCACGGTAGGGCGCTGGACGCTCAACGCTGGACATCACCACCACACGGCAGGAGCAGCGTAGCCCACTTGATGCTACCGAGGCTGCTACTCGAACTCTGGGATCAACACGAACGGCGGCGGCGGAGGATCCCTCTGAAACGTAGCTAGACACAGACCTCACGCGTGAATATTCGTCACGCGCGCCCTTTCTGCTCCGATGCTGGGTGCCAAAGTTGAAACGTTTCGTAGGACGTTTGTTGGCACCCGCTCTTTTGACAGCAACACCACTTTCAGTTTTGGAGTGCTCAGAACAAGCAAAGAAGGGCAATTGTGTTTCATTGACGGGACAGCATGCACAACATGATGGGCTGTCACAACGGGTGCTAGTATGTAGGCAGTCTACACGGGATGGAGAGGGCGCAGCAGAAAAGACCTTTCTACTACCACTACTCGGCTCGTCCAAACACGGACACGCCTGTGAAAACGGGAATTCGTAAGGACACTCATCAATCTTGGACTGAGCTCTGTGACGATGGCGAACGCCTCGCGAGCTGCTATCATTTGCCGAGTAACAACTAGCCTCTCCGCTGCAACAACTACCAAACCTCTCCGCGCCTCGACCAAGCTCCATTTGAGCGGAGTTCACAAACCCTTGTAGAGTCTTGTGCTAGGACTGAGTTGGTTGGAAACCTTTGGCCTCACAAACACGCACGCGATGAAAAGCCTCTACCACAACGCAGTGGTTGGTGATGGCTGGGCTGTCGCACGTCCTTGTAGCAGCGATTTGTAGGTACAACCTCTGGTTAATGTCGTCGTCGCGCGTTGACGGTTGGTATCACAAGCGCTGTGTTCCTGTGGTCATTCTGACTAGCTTCTGTTTCAGGCAACACACCACCTTTTCCCCATCCCTTCTTGAATCTTCGCATGTCTTTCTGTTTCGCATCGCTGTCCCGAGGAGCTGGGAATAAGCAGACACTCTTCACCCCATGTATGTCTTTACTTGGGCAACCTCTGATGAGTCTGAACAAGAGCGCCCAAGAGGCGAGAGCTCGTTCGCGCCCATAATCTCACCTTGACGCGCGAGCACCAGCACGAGACTACGCCAGTACCGACATAACATTCGCACTGAAGGAGATCGACATGCTTGTTTCGACCGTATGTTGGTTGACAAGCCACCCCAGTTTCGTGTCGAGCGCGCTCCATCTTCTTGGTTCTGTTCGCTGGACCCGGGTGCAAAATTCGAAAGCATTCGCTCTACTTCGACGTTGCCGGCGAAGTAACACAGAAAACGGTGACTCGCCGCGTTCATCCTTATCGTGTAGGTCCTTGTTGAGCGCATGCTGCGAAAGCTGCGTTAGTCTTCAGAGTCTCGAGAAAGGCACGGGAAATCGCTGTGAGAGGAGGCTTCTGCGTTACTAGGTCCGTGCGTTTCATGCTCTCGCCTTTCCAGCCAGTGCATCACCGTCACCACAGACATGTTGTCTTCATGGTGCATGAGGTGCGGATGATATTCTAACACGAATCACGGAGGAAACTGCATGGTGCATTGCATGCATGCTTAGAGCTCTCTGTCTCTACAAGTATATCACGTTCGAGTTCAAGTGGAGGCACACAGTAACAGCAGGATTACATAGATGGTGCAGACAGATTACACATGTAGAAATGCAATACTTTTGGAGTCGTAAGAGTATACCATGCACTGCAGCGTGCAAGTGATCAGATCAGTGCAGTGTCTAAAGATCAGATCGATGAAGGTCCGAACACTGTCTTCATGACATCCACTTTGGCAGCATTGGTGACGACAAGCAATTGATTAATGCATCAGACTTTTTTCTCCGCGGTTCACTCCCAACCTTTGAGCGCGCCGAGCTGCCGAGACTTCACTTGTGACAGCCTAAATCTTCCTTCCACACAATCATATTGGTTTCAGACTGTTTGCTCTGCGCTGCGCAGCGGGGAATCAACGCATCTACCTGAATCGATTAATCATTTACCGCAGCGCCATGTTTGTCCGTCAGAGATGCAATGTGGTAACCAATCAGGCCTGAATATGTGGGGAAATGCTGCCCTCTGGCGCAGGCATGATTACACTTTGCAGCATCATAGTTTTCGTTCTGATATCCGCTGTGACACTGACAGGCCATGTGTCATTGCAGGATATGTGTAGAGGTTTCCTGGAGCCAATTGCTCCTAGTTGTTCATCACCAAGGGCAAGGTATGCATACGCGTGAGCATGCATGCTACACAGTGAAGGGAAGAATGATTGTTGTGGCTCGCTAAGAACTGATGACTATCATTCTCATGTATACAGTATGGCGTGAAAGTACATGACGTCATGTAGTCATACTTAAAGTCTTTAAAACAATGTCGATGTCCTTGTGTCAGTGACCATGCTCTATTACGTTGCACTAAGTCTTGTTGATTGGAATCATGCCCTTGCCCGTGTGCACTGTACAATCACGTTGATGTCGATGGAACTGTTTCGCTATCCTCAACCAAGCTGCTGTAGAGATGTCACTGCAGTGCAGAGATGTGTAGATTTGTTTCCCACCTTCTAGAAGTAGAAAAGAGATCGATGGAGTGTCCTGAGTCAGGAGCAGGGCCAGGGGGTCTTGTGTTTCGTTCGTAGGCCTGCAGCGGTGCACTATGTACATTGTACGATGGCGTGTGTTAACGTTACCATGCGCCCTTTGCGGCGTAAGATCGCCCTGAAGAGGACGATGTTCAAGGCTGGAACGCTCAGTGTCACACCTTTATGACCTAGATTCCCTCCCCCGCGTACACCACGTACACGTGTCTGTGTATTGCACCAGTCACTGATGTCCCTGGGCCACGGGGCGCGCTTTGACGCCGGGGTTTCACCTAGTATGTTATCCTGTGCGAGCAATTAAATCTCTCCAACGCCCAGACGGTGACGGGCGCACCCTAGGTACCCTGCGCACCATCGCCCCGCGGTCTTCCTCGGCGCGATGTGACAAAATGCGTTTTGTGCCGGGCGAGGAGGGCATACACTGATACAGTGAGTTCACCAGCGAGAAAGGCCTTGTATGTACTGTTGTAGCTGCTCCCCACGCCATGGGGCCCAACACCACGGCTGAGTACTCACTCATGTACACGTACATGACTAGTATTGTACTACAGATATACATGTAGGTGATAGTACCCGATTGTTGCCCTTGGCCTTGGTCTATACAGTATTGTACTACAGATATACATGTAGGTGATAGTACCCGAGTGTTGCCCTTGGCCTTGGCCTATACAGTATTGTGTTACAAGGTACTGTGGGCAAGCATAGGCCTTCCTTGGGGCTCTCCTTAGCTTGGTACACCTACGAGCGAGACGCGTAACCCTCAGGCTCCACGGCACTGAGTTTCCACTGCTGAGTAACGATCTATGTTGACTTCCCACCGGGAAAGACAGGCTGTAGCTTCATTGAAGCAGGATTAGGCATCGATGACTATAATTATGGTACACCATGCACGGGATAAAATCAGCCCGGCCATCGATCCAACAGCTACAGTTCAACATTGTTAAAACGACAGTGGCCATGGTACCAGGCACGGCGTAGCCTTTAATGAACTCGCTGCACGTCACGTGACAACATGTAGAATGTACATGATTGTAGTACAAAAAGAACAAGTGCCCTCAGCTAGGAGTCCAAACAAAAATGTTGTAAGAAGTAGAGCTAGAGGCTGGACCCGAGGCAGTCGTCAAGTCCATTACCACCTTCTAGTTTAGCTGCTACACCTTTGTTGCATCTAAATGGGGTGCCACCTTGCCAGCATGATCTGTGAAAATAAGGGAGGAGTGACGACTCTACAATGTTCCATCGCCTACAATGTAGTGGCATGACGAGTGCATCAAAGCTCGTAGCTGTACTGGTGAGGCCTAGATAGCCGAAACAGCTAGCTGCCTAAGCATTTGCACTCACTGTAAGTGTAAGGCAGTATCACCATACTCGTCCATAGCCAGCGAATGGCAAGACTCGATCAGTCTGTTCACACGATCAGAGCAGAATGTCCACTCTGAGAGAGTGTCGTTCGGCATCGGTTCTCCTTGCAGCAAGCTCTATGCCCTCCAGCAGCTCGACCGGTTTCCTCACAGGCGCCGTCGCATTTCCTTTCCTCCGCCACCACCCTCTGTCCAGTGCCTAGCCTGCCTGTTGGAGAGATTAGCTGACAGGCTCCGTGATATGTAGTATGTACGAACACTTCTCACTGGTACGTTTGACGGCACCGAATCTCTATCCTCCCGAATGCTTTCCGCGCTCAGCGCCATAGAGCACCCAGGCAACGTTGCATTGATGTTACACATCTGACCAAGCTTGAACACAAGCAACACACGTTCTACCCGAACCTTATAATGCCTTTGGTTATCTATCATAACATCCGAGAGCATCACGATCAACTACATGTAAGCTACTTCCCTCTTCTCTTGGGTAATTGGACTTGCAGCCCCATTAGTTTGATTCGGCGAATACCATGTATATATCAACCATCCAGCCAGCCAAGTAACCGTATAATCATGTAACGCAAATCCTGCTGCGTATCCGCCACAAACAATAGAGATTTCCCGGCACAACTGTAATCATAGCTGTGGGCTGAGCAGAACTGAACAAGGACGGGCCGCGGGTACCGGGTAAGGTAAACCACCGCTTACATCACGTGGGCATAGATTCGTTACGCTTTAGGACTGAAGCTACATGTAATGTACTAGTTTCTGCCTGCTAACATGCACTTCGAAGTACGAGTCGTACATGTAGTTGCTAAAGAGGTCACATGACAATAGGAGGGAGGATGGAGTCCAAATGGAAAGCATAGCCTAATGCGGCTAAGCTTCTTTGTGCACTACCTTGATATCGAATCAAACCACAAAACAAACGCAACACTGCGGAGAGGAAATAGCACGTTATGGAGCCATTAATGCAGTTGCTGGCCATCTATCGCCACCGAAGCAATGCAGATCTACTTATGAGCGCTGGATGGTGCATTTTGCACGACGATCCTGATGGTCAACAGCTGAGATCTACTAGTACTCCAAGAACGCTGAGAACGCTAAAAAGTAACAGTGCCTCACCGTGCTGGTGTCCGCATCTCGTGGGTTGGCGCCCAAGCTTGAAACTTCCTGACACCACCACCACCAGACACAGAAGACGCTAACCGATCAACTAATCGTACAAGCTGAAAACATGGTACTGAGCAAATTTACACAATCGAACGTGGCCCACATTGCAACCAAGTACGCTAGATGCTGGGTAGAGCAGGTTGGGGTTTGGACTCAGAACTCAAGGTGCAGTGTTTTTGTTGACATTCGTTGCAAAGATCTAGCATAGCTAACGTTAAAGGTGCCTGTGTATGTGCCATGTTTTGAAGATTGGTTAGAAAGTGGCACCCTTATCTCAAGCAGCTCCAGAAGGCGCGAATTGATCACGAGACCTTGAACTAGGAAGCCATCATTGGGTCACATCACTACCCTTCGGTAACAGCATACTGAACACCTAATCAGTTATCACAGTTATCACAATACTAATGTACAATGTACTCATGCCCAATGCTGTAGACAGCAAGCTGGTTCGGCCATAAAGGCCTCATCAATATAGCTACGTACGAGCTTTAAGCAAGCCGAGCTACCAGCCATGGTGCGAAGGAGGCACCACAGACATATTAAGGTGGCAGGCTACCTTCGGCGCCAGCCGATAACATACATGCATTCCAATGTCTGTAACATTGGCATCCCTCATTATTTTTGCACCAAATTTTCTACACATGCTGGTCAGATTATAAAGAACACTTGAACAACCACCACACATGCATTTCGACTTGGAGAACAGGATGCTGGACACACCAAACAAGAATATCGCAAAAATGCGGTCAACAAATTTTTGGTACAAGTTTTCTGCAAGGATTTTAGCAATAGCCAGATACTTATGTTACATAATGAGTGTTCTTGCTCAATACTAGATGCTCACGAAGAGATTTATGCTTCTAGATGT